CTGGGCAACATAGACCCCGTCTCTTCAAAATAATTTTTTTTCTAATTAGTTGGGCATGGTGGCGTGTGACTTTAGTCTCCCCTACTTGGGAGGCTGAGGCGGGATGATTGATTGAGCCCAAGAGGTTGAGGCTGCAGTTAGCCATGATCATACCACCATACTCTAGCCTAGGTGACAGAGTGAGACCATGTCTGGGAAGAAAAAAATCAGTAGTGGCCGAGGGTTCATGAGGAAGAGAGGAGAGATGAATACGTGAAACATGTTGTTGACAGTAAACTATTCTATGTGAAACTGTAATGGCAGCTACATGACATGCATTTGGCAAAACCTCTAGAACTAACTAATACAGAGTGAACTATGTTGTAAACTATAGACCTTAGTTAATAATAATGTATCAATATTGGTTCATTAATTGTAACAAATATACCACACTAATATGACATGTTAATGATAGGGGGAACTATGTGGGTCTGTTGGTGGGGGTGTATATGCTAACTATCTGTACTACTTGCTCTTATTTTAAATAAAAATTTTAGGTTGGCCCTGGTGGCTCATGCCTATAATCCAAGCACTTTGGAAGGCTGAGGCAGGTGGAGCACCTGAGGACAGGAGTTCGAGACCAGCCTGACCAATATGGTGAAACCCCATCTCTACTAAGAATACAAAATTTGGCCGGATGTGGTGGCATGCGCCTGTAATCCCCGCTACTTGGGAGGCTGAGACAGGAGAATTGCTTGAACCTGGAGGTGGAGGTTGCAGTGGGCTGAGATCACGCCACTATACTACAGCCTGGGTGATAGAGCAAGACTCCATCTGGAAAAAAAAAAAAATTTAAAGGGGAGATAAACAAATGTGAAAGGTGTTAAAATTGTGCATGCGCCAAATGGAAATATTTATAGGCTGTAACAAAGGAATTATAAACTAATTGAAAGGCAGGAAAAAAAAAACCTATAGTAAACACCATAATAATTGAATAGTGGCAGCTTTTTCTCTGAGATGAGAATGAGACAAAGATGTATTTCATTACCAGTTCTATTTATCATTGTACTAGAGAAAATCATAGCCACTGTAATAAGCAAAAGAAATAGAAAGTATAATTGTTGGAAAGGAGGAAAGTTAGTTCATTATTCACTGGTGAATTGATGTTTTATGTAGAAAATCGGAATGAATGAACAAATTTAGAAATATTGTTGGGTACAAGGTCAGTATATGAAAATTAACGTTATATACTAGCAACAATTAAAGAATGACATTTAAAATATTCCTTTTTTTTCAAGACAGGGTCTCATTCTGTTGCCCAGGTTCACAGCTCGCTGAAACCTTGACCTCCCCAGGCTCTGTTGATCCCACCACCTCAGCCTCCTGAGTAGCTGGGACTATGGGCATGTACCACCACACCTGGCTAGTAATTGTATTTTTTTGTAGCAATGGGGTTTTGCTATGTTGCCCGTGCTGGTCTCGAATTCCTGGGCTTGGGTGATCCTCCTCCCTCAGCCTTCTAAAGTGCTGGGATTATAGGTGTGAGCCACCATGTGCTGCCAAAAGATATTCCATTTTAATAATAAGAACATCAAATAACCAGGAAAAAAATCTAAAGATAAGCAAGGTATCTATGTGGAAAACTACAAAAATTACTGTGAGAAATTAAAGAAATCCTAAATAAATTTTGGAATGGATCATGTTTCTGGATTGGAAAATTTAATATTGTAAAAATCTCAATTGTTCCCAAATTTTCTGTAAATTCAATGCAGTCCCAGTAACAATTTCAGAAAGTTTTCTTGTGGAAGTTGATATGCTGATTTTGAAACTTAATAGGAAATGCTGAGAATCAAGAATAAGTAAGATAATCTCGATGAAGAAGAACAAAGTTGAAGGACTTATGTTACGAGACATTATGACTTATTATTAAAGCTTCATAAAATCAGCCTTACTGGCACAAAGACAAACAGACTAATGGAGCAGAATACAAAGTCCAAAAGTCCATCCAATCCCTCGCTCCGCTGTGTATATTTATAACCAGGCGCTATTGCAGTGCTTGCCTTGTAAAGTTGAGGTGATCACATTTGAGATAAGGAAGCACTTTCTAGGAAAGAATGTTTTGGAGGGGTCAGAACTCAGTTTGCCACTCGTGTCGCTATCTGCGTTTCTATTGCCAGTATCCCAGGCTTTGTAATTGAGGGCATTACTTTTACTCATTGAAACATGAGTCAGGAATTGGCTTTGGCCGTCAGTGTAGTAGTTTGGAGTATCGCCACGCCTATTTGTGCAAATTCAACTACTTTCAGTTTAAAAGATTAGGGAGAGAGGGGAAATAATGTAAATACTTTAGGCAATCTGTTTTTTCATTCAGTAATCATAAACCTAGGTAGTAAGCATGAGATGAGAAATGTGAATTCCTGTTCCGTGTGTTGGTTCCTGCGTGTGTCTCAACGTGTGAACTCTTGCTTCACATGTGAATGAAGCAGGAGTCCAGTTTGTTCCAAGCAACACACTCACTAAACGAAAACTACTTCATCTGTTATTATCAGTTAAGAAATAGCACTGTTGACCTAAACAAGGAAACTGAGGTAAAATTAATCTAGAGAGTTTATTTGGGGCAAGTTTGAGATTGCAGCTCAGGAAACACTGGGAAGTGATCCCGAGAAAAAAGGAGTTGCTTGAGTTTTGTTTGTTTGTTTGTTTTTTGTTTTTGTTTTTGTTTTTTTGAGATGGAGTCTCTCTCTGTTGCCCAGGCTGGAGTGTAGTGGCGTGATCTCCGCCCATTGCAACCTCCGCCTACCGGGTTCAAGCGATTCTTCTGCCTCAGCCTCCTGAGTAGCTGGGACTATAGGCGCCCGCCACCACGCTCAGCTAATTTTTATATTTGTAGTAGAGATGGGGTTTCACCATGTTGACCAGGATGGTCTCCATCTCTTGACCTTGTGATCCACCTGCCTCAGCTTCCCGAAGTGCTAGGATTACAGGTGTGAGCCACCATGCCTGGCCTGCTCAAGTTTTTAAAGAAAAAAGGATGAATCAGGAGAGGGGGTGATTACAAAAGTTGTTTTTGGGAACTCTTACCGGTTTCCAGAAGTAACATTGATTAGTGATTGGTTGTACATTGTTGAACTATCGGGTAGGAGTTAGAGTATCCAGCGTATGGCATTGTTAGGTTACTTTATAGCTTACTTGTGTCAGTCACTCTGGAGCCCACATAGCGGCTCATATCTCTTAGATTAAGTTTCTTTCTTAGGATCTAGCCCAATCCTGAGGGAAAAACAGCTGTGTACGGCTTTCCAAAGCAGTATATGTAGTGGTCCTGGCTTGTGCTCTTGAGTCAGACTACCTGGATTCAAATCCTAGTTCCACATTTACTATCAGCGTGCCCTGGGCACCTTACGTAACCTCTATGTTCAGTGTCCTTATCTGTAAAATGGAGATAGTAATAGCACAACACCTCATAGCAGTGTTGTGCCAATTAAATGACTCACATGTAAACCATGGTTGGCACATAGTCGATGCATAATCAGTGTTGACTATTTTTGTTATTACCAGTATTGTTATTACTGAGACATGATAAAGGTGGTATGCTCTTAAGGGATTTTCAAGGGAAACAGCTAACTCTTTTTTTTTTTACCTTTGGCATATGCTTTTAGAACCCAATCCCTGCATGAAATGTGATTCTGCTGTACTAGGCTAGTTTCTGTTTGGTGCTTGTTTTCTGTAGGGAGCTGACAATCAGATGTGGCTAGCTGTGGGATGGTCGTATGTCACAGAACACAGCTATTAGGGGCAGGAGAGCCTTTGGGTTGAGCTATGTAGATGTGTAGATATCCTGAAATACTTGGATGTATATGTGTAAGTACATGTATTTTAGCCACCAGCATTTTTCTATGTACAAAGATCCACTGAATCTTTTAAAGTCAGTGTAACCCTTATTATGCTTCTATCCTTTGCTTTTCACTAGAGAATGATTGTAGCCTGTATTATAGGATGGCATCTCTACAGTCAGTATCCCATGGTACTGCATGTGGGTGCATTATTGTAGGGTGCAACACTTTGATGTTTTATGATTCTGCTCTCCTTCCCTGAGGCCATGGATTTTTATCTCACCACTATTATTACCGTTAAAGAATTTTGAGGAATATTATAGGTGGCTGTTCACCATCTTACCACTCTCCCCCTTCCACACTCAGAGGCACAGTCTCTCATATTTACTTTCCAGGACTCTCAGAACTGAAGTACTATTCTTGTTCCTGACTTCAACCCTATCCATCCTTCTCACAGAAAAGCTGCCCTTTGTTTCCAGCTGTCACTCTGCAGTGCTGAGGCACACATGGCTGTTTGCTCACGTACTAGCAGCAGCAGCTCCTCTCCTTGACTGCCAGAATGTCGAGGCTTCACTCAGTCCCCTGCCATGTTGGCAGCTACTGCTTCCTCTAAGGCATTACTGATGCCAACCAAGATTTTGTTTGCTTCTGTCTGCTTTTCTTTCCCCCTCATCTTTCCTGTGTTCTCTGGCTCCTTGGCTTTTGCTTAGGAAAAACTGATCACTTATAGACTTTGCCAACTAATGAGCTCCATCTTTCTGCCAGGCGAACAAATACTTCAAACCAAATGGGCTTTGTCATCAAGCTTTTTTTTGACAATGTTGTTTGAGGCTCAGGCATCTGAGCCTGTTCAGCGCATCTACCACCAAAAGAGGGCTTATGCTAGAGCGGTGGTCTTCAAATAGAAGAAATTAGGGTCTTTCCTGTGTCCATTTCTTAGAACAAGGGAAATATAAGCTTAACGAGTTCTAAGGTAATTTGTATTGTGTGTCCAAAACAGCTTCTGAACATGCAAGCATTTAGTATTTCACTGTAGTGATATAAAGTTATAGTGTACTTGTATATTGCACATTGAGGAATCTTGAAAAAACTTATGTATCCAGGTGGCGGATTAGATTTTTTCTTTCAACTTATAATTATCCTGAAATGTTAACACCATCTCGTTTTTGTGTTTTTTTCCCCTCTCTGTAGAATATTTTCCTTCTTGGATATAGTAACTTTGTGCCGATGTGCACAGATTTCCAAGGTAGAGTATTCACCAGATTTTTAATCAATAAATATCAAGTTTTATTAGAATGAGTTTTAGTTCAAATTACTGAAAATTAAAATTTTATTATCTTTTATACTTAATATAACACAATGGTATAATTTTGCATTTGACGATTGACTTAATATACATTAAAAGGAGAGGTTTGGAAATAAAGGTTAATCAAGACTTTCTTTAAGAGTCTCAATAAATGTGTTTCTTTCACCCCCAATCCCTCTTCCTTTACCTCCCACCTTCCAGGCTTGGAACATCTTAGCCCTGGATGGAAGCAACTGGCAAAGAATAGATCTTTTTAACTTCCAAACAGATGTAGAGGTAAGTTAGCTTTGGTTTAGACAGAAAACTTTTTAAAAAGATGAGTAACTGTTCCCTCTTTCCTGCCTTTTTATTTTACTGCATTTAGATCTAATACTAAAGTGCCGAGGTAGAACAGAAAGAAGAAAAACTGGAAGGGATTTGCATACATAAAACAAAATCCTGCTTGCATTTTAAATTGTATCAGTAACAGATTGTTTTTCTCTCCTTTATGTTTATAGTCTGAGTTTTACTACTCAGCTTTTTAAAGCCACACACCTGCATCATTATCACCTGGTTCAATGCTTTAACCTTAGGAGACTTAACAAATACTTATTGACCTAAAAAATCCACTGAGAATTCTAATTCATCATCAAAAATGGAGAAATGGCAGAAGCACAGGCCCAAGAGTGAGGCTGGAGATCTAAAGTGTCACCCCAGCTCAGCCACTTCAGTCGTGTAATCTCTGAGTACTTCTGTTTTATTGTCTGTAAAATAAAGAAGTAAAGTAATAGTTAAGTCTTATACAATTCCAAGACTCTGATATATTTATCTGTGAATATGTAAATATCTCCATTTAAGCATGGTAAACCTGGTGAAATGAGCACAGTTTATTTAGAACAACTTTGATATTCAATACGAAATTTCTAACCAAAGAGAAAGTTAAGGCAGGGAATAATAAAGAGCATTGTACTTAGGATTTGTCTGAAGCGCTGGTTTGAGGGTCTTGAGATTCTGAAGTTTATTTTCTACCTAATGTAAAACCTAATGTATTTCCAGTTTAGCAAACTTACAGTAGTGGAAATGCATTTTAATTTAGTTACTCACACAGTATGTTTGCCATGTGTTTTTACCAAGATGTATTTATTGGGTTTTTTTTTTCTTTTTTGGATAAGGAAATGCATGCATTTAACAGTAGGACTGAGCTAAGCAATTTCCTGCTAGCTGCTTAACCTGGTTTGACCTAGACAAACTAATGGTCTAGGTCAGTTGTGGAGACTCTTCACCTCCTTCTCTAGGTTACTTACTGCTTGAGAGTCTCTGCTTCTCATCTTACACTAGTGGAGCACAATACTTACAGTAAGTGGGGCAGAGCAGAAGATTTCCCTTTATTAAATAAAGGGGGAACCCCTTATTTCTGTCATATTGTGGTGCTCTGCTCTTGGAAGAGGGCAGGGACCTCAAGGATTCACGCCCATCCTGGAACGATAAGCTCTAGTTCCTGGCTTAACACTGTAGTTTCTGAATTAGGTGTTCTTTAGTGCGCTTTTGAGAGTTAACAGCAGTGATTACAACAGTGCTCCACCTAAACATGCCAACATTCCATGCCAGTGAATATAATTCCCCTTCAAACTGATCATATCTAAATATTTGTTCACTGTGTTTACTTAGTGACGATGTGGAGGACATTTAATTTCTAAAAATTGTAGTCATTTCTACTGACCACAAAGGAGAGTTATTGTTTTGAAAAAACTGAGCAAAATACTTTCTCTCTTTCTGTGGTTCTTCATGTCTCCTCAAATTTGATGACTTTTCCAACCATACAACTTTTTTGGAAAGCATGTGAAGAACTTTTAAAGTCAGGCTGGGTGCGGTGGCTCACACCTGAAATCCCAACACTGTGGGAGGCTGTAGGGGGCAGATCACTAGAGCCCAGGAGTTCAAGACCAGCCTGGGCAACATAGCAAAACCGCGTCTCTACAAAAAAATGAAAAAGCAAAAATTAGCCAGGCAAAATGGCACATGCCTGTAGTCTCAGCTACTCAGGAGGCTGAGGTGGGAGGATCACCTGAGCCCAGGAGGCAGAGGTTGCAGTGAGCTCTGATTGTGCCATTGCACTCTAGCCTGGGTGACAGAGCGAGGCCCTGTCTCAAAAAAAAAAAAAATTATTTTGATATTAAAAAGTACTACTATTTCAACTAAATATCACTACCTTGTGCATTATTTGATTACAAGATTTTAGCTGACTGCTGACTTTCAGCTAACTGCCATATAAACACATCCCAGAAATACTTAAAAGTCCATCCACCAAAGGGGAAGCCAATTTATGGTTCACCAGTTATATAAATAATTGCATGTGAAAACCTAAAATAGCTGGCACCAGGGTTGCAATCTAGTCATAACACTTAGCTTCCCTTTTGGGCTAGCCCCCTTGGTCCAGCTTAGATTATGAACCAAGTCTTAGGGTCTTTCATAGTCCTTCAACAAGACCCTTTGGAGGATGCTTGCCCTAGGAAGCATTTTATGGATAGTCTTAAAAATATGCACTTTGGGAAGGAAATGTGAGAGAAAAGAGAAGTTGTCAAGGATCAGGATCAACACACTAATAATATTTGCTGTGTGTCTGACACTGTCGTAAGCACCATATTAAACTGAGGCACAGAAAAGGTTGAGTAACTTACCCGAGGTCACTCACCTACTAAGAGGAGACTGTAGGTATCTTGAACGGTGGGTTGCATGACTGGCATATGAAGAAAAGGCAGAGTAAAGCATCTAGGTGACAAGTGCACACGGTACCTTTCCTTCATCTTCTCTTTTGTGAATACGTGTGGTTTACCTGAAGTTTGGGTTGGCATTTTCTGTGCCTTTAAAACTTATACATTTTGTTGTCAGTGTCTTCATGGTTACTGAAGATTGTGCTAGGCCAAAAATGAGAAATAACTAAGTAGTGTGTGAATCTGAAAGTGGTAACTCCAAGGGTCTTTAGCCCATTTTAGGGCTTATTTTTCTTTAAAGCCCTTCATTCTAAAATGCATGCCTACAACATATTGTCTGGTAGATAAGACACAGAATCATTGGCTTGAATATTGCACTGAAATGGATTTGTATTTTTCCCCCTCTTAGTTGGAAAGAGTGGAACAGAATATTGTGTATGTAGTTTTGTATTCCAGTACAAGAACTTTGCCCCAAAAAAGGAGGACTAGAAAGTTTATATAAATGTTACTAACTTGAAATGGGAACAGTATATTAGGTGCTCCGTTTGTAGACATTGGTGTAGAGCTGTTTTTTTTTGTTGTTGTTTGTTTCTGTTTATTAGGTACTTAAATACATATCTTTGATTTCTAAGTCATAATCTTTTTCCCCCCGTGAGAAAGATTTATTTTACAATTGTCTGGAATTTTGCTTCAAAAAATATTAATAATTATTAATGCAGGTAGTCTCAAGAAAGTATAAATAGATGCTAACAGTATCAAAGATTGGAATTTTCAACGTAATTAAGATGTTAGCTAGGTAACAATATGTATCCTGTGGGGTTTTTTGTTTGTTTGTTTTTATGAGACAGAGTCTTGCTCTGTCACCCAGGCTGGACTGCAGTGGGATGATCTTGGCTCACTGCAACCTCCGTCTCCCAGGCTCAAGCGATTCTCCTACCTCAGCCTCCCAAGTAGCTGGGACTACAGGTGTGCCCCACTATGCTTGGCTGATTTTTTTTTTTTTTTTTTTTTGAGACAGTCTTGCTCTGTCGCCCAGGCTGGAGTGCAGTGGCGTGATCTCAGCTCAGTGCAAGCTCTGCCTTCCGGGTTCACGCCATTCTCCTGCCTCAGCCTCCCAGGTAGCTGGGACTACAGGTGCCCGCCACCACGCCCAGCTAATTTTTTGTATTTTTAGTAGAGACAGGGTTTTACCGTGTTAGCCAGGATGGTCTCGATCTCCTGACCTCGTGATCCGCCCACCTCGGCCTCCCAAAGTGCTGGGATTACAGGTGTGAGCCACCGTGCCTGGCCGCTTGGCTGATTTTTGTATCTTTAGTAGAGATGGGGTTTCACCATGTTGGCCAGCCTGGTCTCAAAATCGTGATGCAGCCTCCCAAAGTGCAGGGATTACAGGCTTGAGCCACTGCGCCCGCCCCCTGTGGTTTTGATGTATCTTGGTGAATTCGTCATGCTCACAGTTCAGTGCCAAGATTGCTGTTTTATAAAATGAGGATAATAGTATTCAAAACAAATCAAATTGTCCCTTTGAACTTTTCCTCCCTTGTGGAGGTGGAGGTTGTAGTTAGTATTTATAACTACCTTCTTCCACAATGAATTTCTGTATTCCTTTGCCTTCAGCAAGCACCTCAGCTGGTCATGGTTCTTTACCTGGTGGAATGACTCAGACCTTTATTCCTGAAGGGTCTGGTCATTAATCGTCGTGCTTGGATTGGGTTGTTGTAGTTTGCTACTGACGTAAATCATAGGGCATGGTACTACTACAAGATGCCCTAAGGGATCTTCTGTATTCTACACATACTCTTCCTTACCTCCGTTTTGGGAGTGTTCATGAAGTTTTTTGACTATTAAATGAGCCATAATAGGTACAAGAAATTGTTCCTCAAAAAGTAGAAGTAAACCAGGTGCCATGGCATGTGCCTGTAGTCCTAGCTACTCAGTAGGCTGAGGCAGGAGGATTGCTTGAGCCCAGGAGTTTGAGGCTACAATGAGCTATGACCACACCACTACACTCCAATCTGGGCACCAGAGTGAGACCCCCAAACAGCAACCCCGTCTCTAAAGAAAAAAAGTGATTTGAAGTAGAAAACGTTTTTTAAAAAGTGGAAGTGCTCAATCATTGTTCATTGTTCATTTTCTTTTTGCTTCCTCTAATATCTCTGCCAGTACGCAGCGAAAGTTCTTGTTTCAAAGCAAATGTGTTTAAGTAGGGGACAGCTAAGGAGGATGAGGGGGAGCCTTCGCAATATATTGTTATACTTTTAAAGTGGTAATGTTTAGCTCAAGTAGGATTTTCTTTTTAAAGCAGCATTGTCTTAGATTTCTGCTCAGTGGCTGGTATTCCCACAGCTAACCTCAAAAAGCCTTTTGATTGGCGGAATAGCTGTGACCCTTGGGTAGGGAGGGCCTGACCCCAGGGCTAAGGCTTTCAAAAGGCAGTGTACAGGTTTTGGTTTTTGTGTTTGTGTTTGTTTTTGTTTGTTGGTTGGTTTTAGAATACTTAATGCTTTAATTGAGAACATTTTTCAGCGCTTGCAGCCCCTTCATGCATTAAGGATAGAACTGAGGTGTTAGAGGAATGTTCCAAAATATTTTCTGTTACACTTGGAAAAATATATTCTGTTCCTAGATTTCAGGTTATTTTGCTGTTAGATAAGCAGCATGAAAAAACAGTATTTTCCCCCCCGAACTTTCTTGATTAAAGGGTCGAGTGGTGGAAAATATCTCGAAGCGATGCGGTGGATTCCTGAGGAAGCTCAGCTTGCGAGGCTGCATTGGTGTTGGGGACTCCTCCTTGAAGTAAGTCAAATCCAGTGGCTCACTCTGTCATGGCAGCTTGTAGCATTTTCATCAGCAAAAATAAACCAAGCCTATTATATGTTCTTCTTCTGTTAAAATTCTTTTTGTGGTAATTTGCATAGAGTAATGAGAGGACCAGGACTTTGGAATATCTAACCTGGGTTGGAAACCGAGCTGTACTGTTGTTAGGGATGTGACCTTGGGACAAATTATTTCGCCTGAGTATCAGTTCTCCTGCAAAGTCAGGGCAGTTATAGCTCCCACAGGACTGTCATAGGCATAACAAGAAATAGCATGTATGAAGTGCCTACCTCTTTTCTATTTCCTTCTTCACTTCTGCATCTTCCTAGTTTTCCTCTCATATTAGCTACCTTTATAAATTTTACTAATTGATAAAATATTTCAAAACTTTCCTTGGCATAAGCTAGAATTTTGCTTACTCATAATGATGGGATATGATTTTTACATTAATTTTATTATTGTTAGCAATATATCCTATCCAACCAAATATTTGCCCATCTCTTACTGGATAACCATTATTTATTGGGGTTTTGTTGGGGGGGTTGTTTTTATTTTTGTTTTTGTTTTGAGACCGAGTCTCGCTCTGTCGCTCAGGCTGGAGTGCAGCAGTGCGATCTCAGCTCAGTGCAACCTCTGCCTCCCAGGTTCAAGCGATTCTCCTGCCTCAGCCTCCTGAGTAGCTGGGATTACAGGCGTGCACCACCACGCCCAGCCAATTTTTGTGTTTTTAGTAGAGACAAGATTTCACCATATTGGCCATGCTGGTCTTGAACTCCTGACCTCAGCCATCTTGGACTCCCAAAGTGCTGCGATTACAGTCGTGAGCCACTGCACCTGGGCAATTGGGAATGTTATCAATGTTAAGGATGTGTGCTGGCCAGGCACAGTGGCTCAGGCCTGTAATCCCAGCACTTTGGGAGGCTGAGGTGGGACGATCCCTTGAAGCCAGGAGTTTGAGACCAGTTTGGGCAGCAAAGTGAGACTCCTCTACCAAAAAAAACCACACACACACACAAAAACAAAAAACACATATGTGCCTTGAGGATTTCTGGAGACAGAGATGATTAAAACCTTCATGTCTTTATCTTCATGGCCTCTAGTATTGCTTATGAGGTTGGCCAAATTAGGGTGTACCCCCCATAACCTTGGAATACACTTCGTGTTCTTGCAGACCTAAATATTACCACAATGTACAGCAATCACAGACTTCCAGTAAGAATGTGCAACATACAGTGAATGCAGACAGTAGAATTTACAATTCAAACATCTGCTATACCATTGCTAAAAAAAAAATTGATTCACAACATCTTTTAAGTATACAAACACTCACTTTAACTGTTATGGAACAAAATGATTTTCTTTAAATCAAGAAAATTCTTTAAATCATGACTTAGATTGACACCTTCAAACATGTTTAAACAACCTTCTATCACTCAGATAAAGCCCACTTGAATTGCCATGTATTATTTATTTTATATATTATTGGATCCTATTTGCTACAATTTTGTTAAAAAATTTTGCATTTGGGCTTATGAGGAATATTGCCTTATGATTTTATTTTCTTATAATGCTTTTGTCTGGTTTAGGTATCAAGGTAATACTGGCTTCATGTAGTGAATTGGGAAGTATTTCCTCCTATTCACATTTCTGGGGATATGTTCAGTGGCTGACATCTATAATCCCAGTGCTTTGGGAGGCCAAGGTGGGAGAATCACTTGAGCCCAGGATTTTGAGACCAGCCTGGCAACACAGCAAGGCCCCATCTCTTAAAAAAAATTAAGTAGCTGAGTGTGGTGGTGCATACCTGTAGTTCTAGCTATTTGGGAGGCTAAGTGGGAAGATCGCTTGAGCCCAGAAGTTCAAGGCTGCAGTGAGCTATGATCACACCACCATACTCCAAGCTGGGTGACAGAGTGAGACCCTATCTCTAAAAAATAAAAACAATTTGGCCAGGCGTGGTGTCTCACGCCTGTAATCTCAGCACTTTGGGAGGCTGAACAGGCAGATCACGAGGTCAGGAGATCCAGACCATCCTAGCTAACATGGTGAAACCCCATCTCTACTAAAAATACAAAAAATTAGCTTGACGTGGTGGCGGGCACCTGTAGTCCCAACTACTTGGGAGGCTGAGGCAGAAGAATGGCGTGAACCCGGGAGGTGGCACTTGCAGTGAGCCAAGATCGTACCACAGCACTCCAGCCTGGGCAACAGAATGAGACTCTGTCTCAAAAGTAAATAAATAAAAATAAAAACAATTTTTAAAAATTCTGGGAGTGTTTATGTACAATTTATATTTTTTTAAAATGTTTTGTAGAATTCACTATTGAGACCATCTGCTCCTGCATGTTTTTTGGGGGGAACATTTTTAATCACAAATTTGATTTCTTTTTGTTTTTTTTTTTAGATGGAGTTTCACTCTTGTTGCCCAGGCTGGAGTGCAGTGGCACAGTTTTGGCTCACTGCAAACTCAAGGAATTCTCCTGCCTCAGCCTCCCAAGTAGCTGGGATTACAGGCACCCACCACTATGCCTGGCTAATTTTTATATTTTTAGTAGAGACAGGGGTTTCACCATGGTCTTGAACTCCTGACCTCAGGTGATCCGCCTGCCTCAGCCTCCTAAAGTGTTGTGATTACAGGCGTGAGCCACCTCACCTAGCCTCAATTTCTTTAATATGTATAGAATTCTTCAGATTCTTTCTTCATAAATGAGTTTTGGTAGTCTGTGTCTTTCAAAGAATTTGTCCATTTCACCTAAGTTCTTGGACTTATTAACATTGTTTATATCCTCTTACTTTAATATCTGTAAAATCTGCAGTGATATACCCTCTCTCGTTTCTGAAATTGATAATTGTCTTTTTTTTTTTTTTTTTTTGGTCCTTGTCAGTCTGACTATTAAGAGGTCTATCAATTTTATTGATATTCTCAAAGAACCAGCTTTTGTTTTCACCCATTTTTCATTGTTTTTCTGTTTTCTGCTTCATTTATTTCCACTCTGATGTTTATTATTTCCTTCCTTTTGCTTACTTTGGGCTTCATTTATTTTTGTTTTTGTTTTTTCTCTAGTTTCTTAAGACGGAAGCTGAAGTCATTGATTTGAGACCTTTTTTTCTAGTATGGGAGTTTAATGACATAAACTAAGTCAGTATTTTGGGGAAAATTCATGCCACAAATTCTTATATGCTATGTTTTCGTCTTCATGCAAAATGCATTCTAATTCCCCTTTTGATTTCTTTCATGACCCGTGGGTTGTTTAGAACAATATTATTTAGTTTCTAAATATTTGGACATTTTCCAGAAGAGCACATTACTGATTTCTAATTCAATTCAGTCATGATCACAAAACATAGTTATACCCTGAATCCTTTTAAATTTATTGAGACTTGTTTTGTGGCCAGTAATATGGCCACTCCTGGCAAGTGTCCCATGTGCACTTGAAGAGAATGTATATTCTGCTGTTAGATGAAGTTTGCTATAAATGCCAGTAGGACAGGTTGGTTGATAGTATTGAGCAGATCTTCTCTATTCTTACTAATTTTCCGACTACTAATTTATCAACTAATAAGAGAGAAGTATTGAAATATCTGCCTATAATTTTTAATTTGTCTATTTCTCCTCACAGTCCTGTCAGCTCTTGCTTCATGTATTTTGAAGCTCTGTTATTATGTATATAAACATTTAGAATTGCTATGTCTTTTTCATTGATATGTCCTTCTTTTATCCCTGATAATTTTCTTTACTATAAAATCTACTTTGTCTCATATAGTCACTCCAGCTTTCTTTTGACTAGTGTTGGCATTATATCTGTTTTTCTATCATTTTACTTTAAGAAACGTATTTGTATCTACTATTTAAAGTTGATTTTTGTATAGTTGTGTAGCTTTTTTTTTTTTAGGTGTTGTTGGCTGGATGCTTCAGTGTGTGGGCTCTGTTATCCCTGCTTTGCTCAGCCTCCAATTAGGCTGGGGACTCCAGGCACGCGCCCATCACGCCCAGCTGATTTTTATATTTTTAGTAGAGACGGGGTTCACCATGTTAGCCAGGATAGGTCTCGATCTCCCTGACTCATGATCTGCCCGCCTCAGCCTCCCAAAGTGCTGGGATTACAGGCGTAAGCCACCACGCCCAGCTGGGTGTTGCTTTTTGATCCAATATGACAGTCTTTGCTTTTAATTTGGTTAGACTATTTTGATTTAATATGATGATTATGGTTAGGTTTAATCCACCCTCTTCCTGTTTTTTTCTATTTGTCCCATACATTCTTTTTCCCCTTTCTCTTTCTTTTCTTTTAGATTTTTTTTTTTTTTTTTTTTTTGTTTTTTTGAGACAGGTTTGTGCTGTGTGCCCTGGCTGAGGAGTGGCAGTGGCACGAATCTCGACTCACTGCCGAGCCTTCTGCCTCCTGGAGTCAAG